GTGGCTACTGGGTTACATAAAAGAGCGTCATCCAGCCTCAGGTGTGGCTCCACTTGCCTGAAATACAGACCAAGGATAAGAGTTTCTGACACTCCAATTTCATCTCCCTTTCTCCCACCCACCCTCCCTTCCTTCCTCCCTCCCTCATTCCCTCCCTCTTTCCTTCCTTCTCTTCCTCCCTCCTCCCTTCTCTCCTTTCCCCCTTTCTCCTTTCCTTCTTCCCTTTCTCCTTCCCTCCTTCCATCCCCTCCCTCCCTCCTTCCCTCCATCCCTCCTTCCCTCCCTCCCTCCTTCCTTCTCTTCCTCCCTCCTCCCTTCTCTCCTTTCCCCCTTTCTCCTTTCCTTCTTCTTTTTCTCCTTCCCTCCTTCCCTCCCTCCCTCCTTTCCTTCCTCTCTCCTTCCTTCTCTTCCTCCCTTCTCTCCTTTCCTCCTTTCCTTCTTCCCTTTCTCTCTTCCTCCTTCCCTCCCTCCCTCCTTCCCTCCATTCCTCCTTCCCTCCCTCCCTCCTTCCTTCTCTTCCTTCCTCCTCCCTTCTCTTCTTTCCCTCTTTCTCCTTTCCTTCTTCCCTTTCTCCTTCCTTCCTTCCCACCCTCCCTCCTTCCCTCCATCCCTCCTTCCCTCCCTCTCTCTTTCCTTCTCTTCCTCCCTTTTCTCCTTTCCTCTTTTCCTTCTTCCCTTTCTCCCTTCCTCCTTCCCTCCTTCCCTCCTTCCCTCCCCTTCTTACCTAACTCCATTCCCAGAAACTGTTGGTCCTGAAAGTAACAAGGTGAACCTACAATTAGGATCTGCCCTCTGAGGTGTGGTAAGAAACTAATTGGTTAATGTTTGCAAAAACGCCAGGGCATTCTTGAATAGAAGGCCTTCTATAAGTTCAAAGTATTCGTAATTACTACGATCGTTACTATAATTTGTTAGACTTAGCTATAAATCTTTTCACAATAGGATGAAGTCAACACTTAAAAGAGGAAGCAGGGCCAGTCTGTATATAAAGCGCCAGTGGCCTGCCTGCCTCTAAGGGCGAGAGCTAAGCGAAGACAGGTGAGTGTGCAAAGCCTGCAATTTGTGCTCAGGCTTATCTAGGACGGGAGGTCCCTCTATGGTGATCGATGCATATGATTGTGTCTTTGCTGCTAAGGAAACTAGAAAAGCAGAAGTCAGATAAAACTAAGGAGTTTGCATGGAAAACACAAATTATGAAAGATTATGTGTGATAGCATAATTTTTTCCTGTCCATTATAATATCTATAACAATTTAGATTTGTTTTATGTCAGTATGTACTTTCAGGTTTCTGAGCATCTGCACAACAAAGGCTGGGGGGACCGAAACGTGTGTGCATTTAGCACAGCGGCACAGGCCTCATGGGTGTCTTTTTTGTTGATTCAAAGCCCACGAACTTATTTGTATTTTGCCAGAGGGTCATCTCTCCCCGCCCTCAGGCTCACTCCTGCGAGGGGCGGGGCGTTAACCCCATAAAGCTGAGGTGGTGGTTCTGTAAGAAACTTGTTTTTTCTGGAAGCTGCGAAGGAATGAAGCCGAAGTGTCTAACAGCTTAAGCTTGACAGGGGAAGGGGAAGGACAGGCTCCGGGAGCCTTGGATGGAACAGAGCGGCGTGGCCTCTTGGACTTGACCTTTGTTCTACAAGGGATATTCCTGGGTCAGTCCTGGCACCCAGAGAGAAGCCTTCCCGGAGCCCTCAGCCTGGCAGTTGCCAGGCGAGAAGCGGGCACAGGGGCCTCTGGGAGGGGGGAGGGGTGGTGGTGAAGGTCTCTCTCCACGGGGGAGGCTTTGCCTGCAGTGTGAAGAGAAGCAATCAAACCTCTGAGCTCTGGGCCCACGATCCAAGTTCAGTAAATCGTATGTTCACAGACCATGTGACATACAACTCTGCAAAAAGTGTGTTTAAAATGAGCCTCTATTTTATTTTAAAACGTTAGATTTTTCTCAAGGATATGTGATTCTAGTGGCAGAGACATGCTATATTTGTGACTGTCATTGATATTTTTAATGAAGATTTAAAAGATATTTTAAAATGTTTTTATTAGTTTTAGAGAGAGAGAGAGAGAGAGAGATCAGTGTGAAAGAGAAACATTGACCAGTTACCTCCCACTGCTAGAAAGAACCTGCACCTGGGGATGTGCCTTGACTGGGAATCAAACTGGTGACCCTTCAGTGCATGGGACAACGCTCAAACAGCTGAGCCACACCAGCATGACCGTATTAATCTGAGGCCTGTGGTGCCTGGCTGTCTGTGAGGCAGTGGGCCGGGCTGTTGTGTGTGTGAGGATGGGACGGTGGAGGGTACAGGACTAAGATGTGATAGAAAGGCCAGCAGCACACGGCGCGCAAGCAACAAGACAGGCGGCAGCAAACCCTGGCGGCGATGCAATGGCAACGAGGAGCAGGAGACCATGCCCGATGCAGACGTCACAGCAGTCCTCAGCTCTGCAGGCTCAAGTGGGGCCACAGCGGGGCACAGCCACCTCATCTCCCAGAACCATGAGCAGGGCATCCCCACAATGCACACTGCAGGCTGCTGAGCCCCCCCCCCCCCCACCCCGACCATGTGACTGTGGGTCCAGGTTTAGGGCGAAGATCTCGGAGAGAATTCATGGAACAAGAATGAGCGTCTCATGGTGGGGGAACTAAAGACCAAAGACCTTTATTCCTACTTTTCCCAAAACAGTTATTTAATGGAGGAAGAGCTGTCCTTTTGTTTGTTTTGTCTGACACACATAAATGATGCTGTGGGGGTTGCAGAGGATGAGGTGGAGAGAGCTGTGAACTTCAGCTGTCCCCGAGGGAGGCTCAGGCGTCAGTTTCCAGGGTGCCCAGCCGGCCTGCTGTTCCAGCTTGTTGTCACTGGCACACTGTTTGTCACTGGTTTGCTCCCCAGGAAGAGAGGATGGGTGCCACGTGGGCACTGTGTTAGGTGGGCATCATGAGTCCTGCTGAGTCTTGGTCAGACATCTCCATAGCAGTTTCCAGTGCTGGGAGCCACAGGGGTATTGACAGATTAGTCATAGGTAACTCCCCAGGGACACCCCCACAGTGCCTGGCAATCCCTTCTAACCATGGATACTTTCCGGCTCCCGAGGAGCTGGGTCATGGAGCTGCTGGTATCCACATGCCGTGTTCATGCCCATTGCTGCGTTTTGCTTTTTCCTGATATGATCGGAGAAACGACAGAAAGGGACTCTGTGTTTCTATATAAGTAATTTTGTATTTACCTAGACTTTTCATTCCAGTGCTTATTCAGCAGACCTTTCCTCAGGCTTGGAGAATGAGGGACTCTCATGTCCCATTCTTCCACGTGGCTTCCCCAGAGGGAGTGCTGTTCTGTTGTTTCCTCTGTTTCCCCCCAGAAAAGCAGCAAGCACTTTCTCTGCAGGGTTCCTTCCACAAAGCCAGGAGGGACCTCTGTAAAGATGAGCTTTCTCTGAGCTTCTCGCAGAAGTGGCTTTTTCCGTTCTTTCTCCGGGACTGAGTGTCCTCTCTCGGCCAGAGCTGGGGGCTCGTGGTGCTGAATAAATGACTCCCGTTGGGTGATTGAGCAGAGGGTTCCTGCAGACCCAGCCAAAATGTCTAGCTCCCATACCCTTTTGGGGTTGGGACTCAGCATGACATTTCTTGCTCAACTCCGGGGAATCAGTGCTGTGGGAAGAAGAATGAATGGTGTGTCTGAGGGGCACACAACCCCTCCGTGGTAAGAGCCCTTAACTCAAATGTCTTCCTCACTACTCCGTCTTTTTGGTTTTGAATTTTAAAAAATTTCCCATTGAGTTGGCATCCAATGAGATAGCGTTTTCAGGTGGACGGTGTAGTGGTTGGACTTACTAAGTGATCCTCCCACCAAAAAGCCTAGCACCCACCGCACAGTCTCTCCTTCGTCTTGAGACATAGGACTAAGTAATCTCTCTGGGTGTTTGCAAGGAACCACCCATAAGAACAACCTTGACACAAAAGAGATGAGAAAAGCACGATGAAAGTGACGAATGCCGCGTTTAAATGCACACTCCGACCTATAATGATAGTAATGAATCGAAATGACAGGTAGCCCGGCTCAGCGCCCTGGGGAGGCGATGGAACACCTGTGGTGGGAGGGGACGTGGGGACAGGTGGCTGCTCCGCCAGCACTCCCAGGGTCAGCGGCCACTCCCAGGGTCAGCGGCAAGCTACGCTGCTTGGCATTGGTGTAATTGCTTGGCACCTGGTGGGGGAACCAGGCTCTGTGGACAGGTGAACGGTGATCAGAGGAATGTTGGAAAGAAAGAGAACGTGCACGAGAGCAAGTGGGACGCAAGTGGCTGACGGTGCCAGTGTCAGGTCTCCCCTGCAGTGAGCACTTTGGAGTCCACCCCAGGACCCGCCTGCAGGGGGCCTCAGCTTGTGGTGGAAGAAGTCTGTCTCTCCGTCCCCCGGCCCGGGCTTGCTCCCGCCCGGGAGTTTTACAGAGTGGGAATGGCATCGTGGCTCCAGGTGCCCACGAGGGTCTGAGCCCCCAGGCGGGGCTTAGAGGAGGGTAATGTCTCCCAGCTCCTTCCGACAACCAAAGCAAAGAGTACGTGCCAAAGCACCGCTAACCGGAAGGAGGAGCCCAGTGAAGAGAAACACGGACACAGTTCTCTCCTTTCAGTGTTATCTTTTGATAATAATGAGGCTATTGGGACCCGGCACGTGCGTCGGAAGCTTGCCGTTCGGGGTCGGAGGCTGGGCACCATGATCCGGCTGAGGCCGAGGCGTCTTGGTCCCTGTGGGCCGAGCAGGGGTCTCGTCGTTTTAAGCCAATTGAGAGGAGGGACGGAGCAGCGTCCTGCTGTTGCTTTTTTCATTATGATTCAAGTCATTGGTTTTTAGTTCAGACCTGGGGGAGCTTGCTCTCCTTTCCCCACTCCTTTCCATAGAAACACTGCGTGCTGTTATGCGGATGGATACTTCCACATCTTCAAGCTAATTTGTATTTTAAAATCACCGTAGGACCTGTGGCGTCAGATCAGCGGTATGTCTGTGCTGTGGCTGCTTCTGGGCCTCCTGGTCCTCACCGGTGAGTGTGTTTCCTTTTCCCAAGTGGCCGTGGAGACGGGAGGGTCCGCACAGGGAGGGCAGCCGCTCTTGACGGCACAGGAGACGGGAGGAGGGCTTCTCTGGAAGGTGGGGCGCTTGACATTGATAAATGCTCATTGTTCCTCAGAAACCCTCCCACCAAAAGTACTTGTTGAATTAATTAATAGAGCATACATTTCCACGGGAGGCTTACAACAATAAGACAAATGTAACTCAGTCGAAAACCAGCATTGAGGGGGTCGAGGGGATGTGACTAAGCTAACCATCCAGACAGACAAAATGCTTGAATTTCAGATTTGGTCCTGTTTCCCTGTAGCTGGGCAAAAAGAAAAAAGTACATGGTTTTAGAGAAATAAAGGCAGGAAGCATGGTTCCTTAAGAAAAACAATTTCTTTTCCTGGCTCTAAGTCCTACAAATTTCTCAGATGGAGTTAGCCTTACATTCATTCACTTACTTGTTGACCTAGTCATTCAACACATACTTTTAAATTTCTAGAAGGCATTTTGGGAATACAATCTAAGGAACTTGGAGGGACATGTAATGTGGTTAGGGAGTGACTAGGAAGCAGGGAGCAATGAATGACACAACTAGCTATTAGGAAGGGTGTCACCAGTTACAAAAGTAGGGTGTCCTTATTAAAAAATAAAAATGGGCACGTTGACTCATTTAGTTTTGAATATACTCACGAAAGACCATGTCATTTCATTTTCTCATTTCTCTCAGATTATTCAGCAAACATTTTAAGAGTAGAAGTATGCACTCCAAAATGCTAGTATTCTCAGATTCAACCCCATAAAGGTCTTAAAAGAAAAGAGAACCTTAAATTACATTTAGTAAACATGCAGTACACATGTGATCATAAGCAATAGACCTGCACATCATTAAGATTTAACTATATAAGCTACTTTCAAAAAAGAATAAAACAAATAAAAAAGAGTAAGCCCTTACAGGCTTATTACAGTGGGATGATGATCTCAAGGGCAATTTCTTGCCAACTGTAGGCATCTTATTACTGGTGTGTGTCTCCTCCTTCTGATGTGCATGGTGAGTTCTTGGGAATGCCCTTCTCCTGAGTGGTCTTTGTGTAAAATTTCTCCTCCTCTTCAGTGCCGGGAATGAGGGGCAGTTAAAGAAAGAGAGAATGAAGGGCAAAGAGAGAGGGAAGTGGAAGGAAGGAGCCCCATGTGGAGACCAGGCCTCAGACCTCACCACGTGCCCTCCCCCTCTGCGCCTTCAGCTCCCACACAGGTGTGCACCGAGCGCAGGGAAGCCAGCTCCAAGTCTTACCAGCAGCCCCTTTGCTTGGGGTCTGGGCTCAAGGCCCAGGGAGAACCAGGCTTCATATGTGTTTCTCCAGGGCAAACATAGTATCTCACAGACCAACCAGTGAGGGGCATGGGAGGGAGCAGCGCTGAGAGTTCAGATAAGATGGAGAGAAGAACTAGCTTACAGGGACATTCTGATCTGACCCCGAAATACCCACCCACTCAGCAGCTTTGGACAACCCCAGGGCTCTGCAAGGAGACCTGCGCCAGCAGTCCCTCTGCCTGCAGGCTGTGAGGCGAGGATTTAGTGCCGAGGAGGGTCTGTGATAATGTCCTTGTCACTGTACCTACTGTAAATTGCAGGAGGGTTCCACTGCGGGGTGAAGTTCTCCTTGTTTATTCATGCGGCTGTATTCACGGGTGGAAGCATGACTGGAACTGCTGTAGCTCAATGTCTTAGGCTGAAATTCTCTCAATTTGTAGACTCATCTGAAAGTGGCAACTGGGGATGCTACGGAAACATCCGAACCCTCGACACCCCAGGGGCATCTTGTGGGATTGGAAGACGCCGAGGCCTGAACTACTGTGGTAGCTAGACTCTCATTGCCCACCTCGCCCTCCTCCTCCTCTTCCTTCCTCTCAGAAAGTGATTCCTTCAGGCGAAGGTGGCTCCAACAGGACTGCCCCTGCCCTGGTGCCCCATACCTATGCCCCCATCCTTCCCCACAGGTTGTGATCCTCTCAACATACCCACTGTTTCCCGCAGTCCCACCCCGCGGAGAGGTGGGAAGAGCATGGACGTGGAGTCCAAAGACGTTGAGCGCTGGCTCGGAAGTCCCTTAGCTCCCCGAGCCTCTGCTGAAGTGGGGATGACAGTACCTACCTGACAATGTTGTTGTGACTCTGTGCAGGAGAGTGCTTTTGAAACCAGAGTGCTTAGAGGTTAAGTGGCTGCTGGGGGAAGTGGGATTGGTTTTCACGTTGCCCGTTCTGGGCGTCTTCCACCCAGAAAAAGGGTGGAAAGGGGCTAGGGTGAGCACACCTGTCAGCAAAGCTCTCCAAGGACTTCCGGAAGGGTGTGGGGGAATTCTTCCCTCACATCGTGTGCTTGTCGTAGCTGAAGGGCATGCATTTAACTGTGCAAATCTGTTTGGATGTTTGGGGCCAGTGGGGCCTGTGCCCTCGAGATTCTCCAGGAGGAGGCGAGCTGCCCCGGCTGAGGTGGTGGTGGCCACAAAGGACACTGCCTGAGGGGACGCCAACTCAGTTCAAAGGAGAATCGTGCCGAAACCGGTTTGGCTCAGTGGATAGAGCGTCTGTCTGTGGGACTGAAACGTCCCGGGTTCGATTCCGGTCAAGGGCATGTACCTTGGTTGGGGGCACATCCCCAGTAGGGGGTGTGCAAGAGGCAGCTGATCGATGATTCTCTCTCATCGATGTTTCCAACTCTCTATCCCTCTCTCTTCCTCTCTGTGAAAAATCAATAAAATATATTAAAAAAAAAAAAAAAAAAAAAAAAAAAAAAGGAGAATCGTAATCTCAGTTCCAGGAATGGCCACCAGAGGTCCCAGGCCCGAACATGAGCTTCTCAGTCCTGAGCTGCTGCCCAGATGCTTGGCGTGTGTTTTCTCTCTCCGTGTGAGCTCGGGTTTGGGCATAAGTGACACCACGCCACCCCTGCTTCTGTGTCTGCTGTAGGAGTCCGTGCCTCTGAGCGGCTGGCTGAGATCGACATGCCCTACCTCCTGAGATACCAGCCCGTCATGCGCACCGTTGGCCAAAAGTACTGCGTGGATCCTGCCGTGATCGCAGGCGTCGTGTCCAGGGAGTATCCTGGCGGGAGCCTGCTGGTCCACGCGGGCAACGTGGATGACGGAGTCAGGGTGGTGCAGGTAACCCTCCACGTGGCCGCCCGGCTGCGTGCACAGCTCCAAGAGGACACCTTGGGATTTGTGGTGCGGATGGTATTCCTGGGGCTCAGCCCCGCAGGCTCTCTGCCTGAGGGACGAGCAGCACTGTTTCTGCTTCGTGTTGAGCCACAATTCCTTTCCAAGTAAGTTAGGCCGTGTCCAGGGTGTCGTCATTGGTGCCCCATTCTGGATTTCTGGTGAGATCTGCAAGAGAAATACCATAGATCCAATCCTTGCTCTGCTATTTTGTAACCACATGACCTTGGACAAAGCATTTAGTCTCCCTGGGCCTCAGTTTCCTCACCTAGAAAATGCCATCCTCAGCATCGTTATGAAGATTCAATGAAATAATATGAAAAAGTAGATTCTCAGCAAATACAAATTCCTTTATCCCTGTCTTTCCACACAGTTCTTAGTTCTGAAAGTCACGTGCTTTTTAATGACTTTTTACTTATTATTTTATATATATATATATATATATATATATATAGAGAGAGAGAGAGAGAGAGAGAGAGACATTGATTTGTTGTTCCACTTACTTATGCATTCATTGGTTGATTCTTGTATGTGCCCTGACTAGGGATCAAACCTGCAACCTTGACGCATCTGGACAACACTGACCAACTGACCGACCCGGGGGGAGTGGGTGCTGGCAGGGAGAGATGGGACCACTGCCTTTTCTATTGCATTTCACATTGTTATAGTTGCTGAGAAACCTGTAAGTAGTGCAGTCATTGTTTAAACTTTTAGGGAAAAGTTTCCTCAATGAACTTTAAATTGGCTTCCCATTAGTACTTTGTATGACACCATACAATTTAAAAGTATCCAATACTCGGATGAATTTGGGCGCATGGGAAAGTGAATGTATGAGAAGGTTGCCATTGCTGTAAAGGACAGGGCAGCCGGGACACGCAGCCTGGGACCAAGGGCGGCCTGGGCGGTTAGGGCTGCATCATTCTAGTCACCCTGCTCTGTCCCCTTTGTAAAACCTCGTTCTTGGGAAAAAGATGAGTCCATATCCTTTAAAAATATATATTTTATTGATTTTTTTTTTTTTTTACAGAGAGGAAGAGAGAGGGATAGAGAGTTAGAAACATTGATGAGAGAAAATCTTTGACCAGCTGCCTCTTGCACACCCCTACTAGACCCACAGCCAAGGTACATGCCCTTGACCGGAATCGAACCTGGGATCCCTCAGTCCGCAGGCCGGTGCTCTATCCACTGAGCCATACTGGTTTCGGCAATCCTTTAAAGATGAAGAAAGAATTTCCCTGAGTCAGATACTTCTTTTGAATATGGTGAAACATATAGGGAATGGTAACGAGTGGTGTGGGACAAAAGTTAGTGGCCCCTTTAGACCTTCGGATTGTCTGGAAGGATGATTACAAGTCCGGAGAGGAAATGCCTTCTGAGCGGTTGAGGGTTTGTGGTCGCCATGTTGAAAGAGGGCATCAGGCAGGAACCACCCTTCTGGTCAGCCCTGGCTTCCAGCCTGCTTCTTGCCAACGCAGCGAGGCAGCAGGCACCTGTCTGCTTCTTCCTTCCTTTGTCCAAATCTTGTCTCTTTACTGCTTGTCCCCAGGGCCACAGAGAGTGGCCTTTGTTGTTTTGCAGGAGGAGGCGGGAAAGAGAAAGCACTGACAGGAGGAAGCCACATCACCCGTGCATTTGGCTCACCTGCTTCTCCTCCGCCCGCCCCCTCTAGGACACTGGCCACTACGTCCCCAGAACCTGGATCAGCGAGTCCCAGCTGTCCCAGATGACTGAGGTCCTGACGGTTAGAATCAAAGAAATCCAGAAGAGGTTCCCCACCTGGAGCCCCGACCAGTACCTGAGAGGTAGGGGGAACCCCGGGCGGGCGCTTTCATGGCAGGGGACAATGGGGACCAATGTAACACGCGTGCCAGACCCCCCAGACCTCTGCTTCCTGGCGAACGCGAGGAAGGGAATCAGAGTTGACTGCTGAGCACCCTGAAGCAATGAGGCGAGGGCTGTGGGTCAGCACGAACCTCTCGCCCTCGCAGGTGGGCTCTGTGCCTACGTCGGAGGGCCCAGCTATGTCAGAAGCAGCCAGGACCTGGGCTGTGACTTCTGCAATGATGTCCTTGCACGAGCCAAATACTTCAAGAGACAGGGCTTCTAAGACTTCAGCTCAACCCCACGGCATTCTCATGCATGAGTCCTCATCTGTTCCACAGATAAAACCAGGCAATGCGCTTATAACTGAGAATCTAAGTTTGACCTGAAAGTTGTCAACATAACATAACATAACATAGATTAAAGGAAGAGTGATTCTCTACATCTTGTGGTCTGATGTGTGTATGTGTAAGTTAAGGGCTGTGTCTCTTTAAATGTATTTCCATGCGGGTAAGCTGGAATTCTTGGATTTCTGTGAATGAATCTTGCACCTCATTGACTAATATGGCCGGATTTACCAAATAAATACCCAGACAGCTGCCCTGGCAGGTGTCTCAGCCGGGTGGAGTGTCATTACACGCACCAAAAGGTTGTGGATTCAATCCCCAGTTGGGGTGTGTACGGGAGGCAACTAATCAACGATTCTCTCTTTAAAATTCAACAAAAACATTCTCGGGTGAGGATAAAAAAAAAAAAACAACACAGAGATAGCTTGTTTACATTTAAATTCCAGATAAATAATGAACATGTTTTTAAAATTTTTCATGGAAGGATGTTTTGTTTTAAATGATGTCAGAGAAAGAGGAATGGAAAGAGAGAGAGAGAGAGAGAGAGAGAGAGAGAGAGAGAGAGAGAGAGAGAGAGAGAGAGAGGGAGGGAGAGGAGAGAGAGAACATCAATGTGAGAGAGAAAATATCAATTGGTTGCCTCTGGTATGATCAGGACTTTGTCCAACAAACTAAGCAAGTACAATAATGAACAATGTTTAAAGGCATAGGTCCCATGCAATATTTGGAACACATTTGGGCATATAATATTCTACCTGGCAACTCTGTCATTGATTTCTCTGATAAAAATAATAATTTCAAATTTAATTGAAAAATTTGATGAGGTAAAGGGTATGATGGTGGCCAGCCCCATCTGCTGGGTGGATTTGTTTCAGGAGAGGCTCTTGGTAACTTTGCAGCATTATTTTATTTATTGAAGCATTATTTTAATCTTTTGTCAGTCTCTCTGTCACCTAAGTTTACCTCCTTTCCTTTCCTGGACCACAGAACCTTCCACCCCAACTTCCCCCGGCTCAGTGGAACGATTCCCTTGCTGGGGGCACGCACAGTGGTTCTCTGTTGAAGCTGCCTCAACGGTAATTTATCAACAGCGACATGAAGACCATGTTGGTAAATTACATAAATCTAGGGGGTGTATTCTATAAAAGTAATTAATGTCCCATTCTATTCACTGTACGGTATCACTGCAGAGTGTCATTCTGGAACAATTATCCTTTTAAAAGCAGAATTGTTTTGAAGCAACCAGTCTGTGCTCAGCGCTACTGTACATCAGAGTCTCTGCCTCAGGAGCGGCTTGAGTTGGGGACAACAGCCCATTACACGTGCACACAGGGCACAGACTCAGGGTGTGTACCCGGAGACAGTGTGACGAGGTCACCTTCTGTGTCAGACCCCAGGGAACCTGATTCTGACCACTGATGCCCTTGAACTTTTCCAGGACCACTTCCTTCTTGGTCTCCCCACCCTCTGCCTTCCAAGACCCTCTCAAGGCTGAATCCAGCGGCACGGTTCCCACCAAGGAGAAATGACCGAGAAGACCTCATGAGCACATTTCACTGGCACAAGGAAAAGAGACTGGCACTGGTTAGGAGCCCCGGGTGGGAACACTTGGGTGAATAAAGCCCTTCTGAAATCACACCCTGGGGCAGGCTCCCACAGCTCCCACTGGGAACACGTACACCAGTAAGACATACACAGTATGACTGTGGTGACGGTCATCCTGAGAAAACATTCGGTCCAGGAAGACCAACAAGGAGCGCTGGGACCTCACAGGGGCAGCTCCGAGGGAGGCACAGGTGCGCTAGGGGATTAACGAAACAGCTAGTAACCAGTCCTTGCCAAGCACCTCCTACCTGCCAGCCATGGTAGTAGGAACTGAGAAGGCACCTCCTTGTTCACACAGAGATCCGGATATAGTGACACTTGGACACAATAAGCTAATTTGAGAGGAGAGACGTGAAAATTGGTCCGGGTACTGAGGCCTGAGTTTCCAGAAGAGGTTGACTTGGTGCTGAATTGTCACACCAGCCCGGATGCACGGTTCCATGGGACAGACAAAAGAGCTCCCAACCAGAGCTGTAAAGACACTCGCTCAGTCCCAGAGCCGGTGAAGGGCCCAAGTGAGTCCACACCCAGTGCCACATGCACATAATTGATGATGGTGATGAGTGTGTGTGAGGGCATGTGTGTGCTGGGAGTTAGTTTGCCTGGGTTGGTGCGTTTTCTGGGACATGGAACTTGCAAGGCTAAAACCAGGGAAGTTAAAGGGGAACTTTCTGAGCGAGTCCAGGTGAGTTGGCCACCTGAGCTGGGCATATCCCTTCCAGGAGGCATTTGAAAACTTGCAAGGACAGTTTTCTCTCTCCCGTCCTCCCGCCTCACGCTCTCTTTTTTTTTTCCCACAATGCTTGGGGTGAGTTGGACATTACTGGTATTTTGTGGTGGAGCAAAGGATGCTAAACTTTTTGCAGTTTGTACTGGGAAGGATGGTCCCACCGAGTGAAGAACATATGCATGAAGGGATACACACATATATACATTTTAATGTACTATTAATGTAATGTACATTTTATAAACCTCCTCTCCAGTTAGCCTTTGTCAGCTTTACAACTTGGAAATATGTTCCTCCCCTCCCCCCCCCCCCCCCCCCCCCAGAAAAAGGTCAGGAAGCCATCCCTTTGAAATATAAACCTCTGGGAAGAAAGTGCCCCATGTCCCTGTTGCTGTGGCATCTGCTTCTTATAGAAATAGGTTGTTTTTTTTGGTAAATCCTCACTGGAGGATATGTTTTCCATTAATTTTTAGACAGAATGGAAGGGAACAGAGAGACAGAAATATTTTTTAAATATATTTTATTAATTTTACACAGAGAGGAATTGAGAGGGATAGAGAGTTAGAAACGTCGATGAGAGAGTTACATCGACCAGCTGCCTCCTGCACACCCCCACTGGGGATGTGCCCGCAACCAAGGTACGTGCCCTTGACCGGAATTGAATCCGGGACCTTTTAGTCCGCAGGCCAATGCTCTAACCACTGAGCCAAACCGGTTTTGGTGAGACAGAAATATTGATGTGAGAGAGACACATTGACTGGTTACCTCCTGCATGTGCCCTGACCCTGCAACCAAGGTGCATACCCTTTACTAGAATTGAATCCAGATCCCTTCAATCTGAGGGCCGATGCTCTATCCACTGAGCTCTACGGCTTTTCCTTAAATTTTAAAAATTAAGCTAATTTAAATGTATTTAGTCTCTGCTAATAGTTTTTTTTTATGAAACTTATTCTTTGTTTTCCTTTTGAAGTGCTTCTGCTATTTATTATATTTACTTACTTATTAGAGGCCCGAATTCGAACATGGGTGGGCTCCTCAGGGTGGCCTGCGGGGCTCTTAAAACCCAGAGTCCAACCACCCCTGCGGCTCCCGCATCCCGGCCTCCCTGTTCCTGCCGCGGCTCCCACTGCTGCAGTGGCGCTGGCCAGCATGCCCCTGTCTGGCGCCCATCCTGAGGCGGTGGCCGGGATGCGGGTGGCCCTCCAGGCAGGTGGTGGGATGCCCTTGCCAGCAGGGGATCCAGACCCATCCCACTGATGCTCCTGCAGGTTGTGGAGAGCCTCCTGGTGCCTGAAGGCCGCTTTTAGATGATTTCTTCCTTGCCGAGTGTCTACGGACAGGAAGTGGCCACGGTGCCATGGAAACACCATCTTGAGATTTCTCTGCACTCCTTTAGGATATATATATATTTTTATTGATTTCAGAGAGGAAGGGAGAAAGAGAGATAGAAACATCAATGATGAGAGAGAATCATTGATCGGCTGCCTTCTGCACATCCCCTACTGGGGATCGAGTCCACAACCTGGGTATATGCCCTTGACTGGAATCGAACCTGGGACCTTTCAGCCCACAGGTTGATGCTCTGTCCACTGGGCCAAACCTGTACTCTTAAGTGTTTGAGGAGGCAAACAAAGAAATTTTTGATGCCCTGGTCAGTGTGGCTTGGTTGGTTGAGCATCTGGTGCACCAAAGGGTTGCTGGTTCGATTTCCTGTCAGGGCAGGCAATCCATGTTTCACATTCACATCACTGTTTCTCTTTCCCTTCCTCTCTCCATAAAAATAAATTAAAAAGAAATTATTTATGTCCAGAGAAGATAATAATTTGTTCAAAGTCACAGAGCTAGTAACAAGCAGAATTGGAATTCAAACTGTGCTCTATTTGACTTCAAATCTCATTTTTTCAAATGACTGCATTAAACTTTCTCCTTTATAATTTATGTATGTGGGCATATGTGAATGTGTATACGTGTCTATTTTTTAGCATATATCATATAATAAGTATGGGAATGCTACCATATTAATATCAAGATAAAATGGCAGGAAGTTTGTCCTGGCCAGTGTTGCTCAGTGGTTTTAGTGTCAGTCTGCTCACCGAAGAGTCTCAGAATTGAGTCCCAGTCAAGAGCATGTATCTGGGTGTCAGGTTCATTCCTGGCCCTGGTCAGGACACATGTGGGAGGCAATCAATCAATCAATGTGTTTCTCTCACATTGATGTCTCTCTCTCTCTCTGCCTCTCCCTTCATTTCCCCTTCCACTCTTTTCTAAAAAGCAATGGAAAAACATCCTTGGATGATCACTAGCAAACAAAAAAATGGCAGGAAGTTTTCAGGATGTTTAAAAAAGTAAGTTGTGGTGAGAATTGATTTCACATCTCCCAAGGAAGAGCCTTGCCTGAATTCTATAGATTGGGAATGTGTACATTTCCTCAAATTTTGTTTCACTTAGTTGTTGAGCCAGGCACTAAGGTTGATGCTGGAAATTCAAAGAGAATTAAGTCATAATCCTTGCCATTAACTGGAGGTTTAGTAAGGGCGATATAGTAGTTACCTATAGCTGTATAACTTCCCTGAACCACCTCTTAGTTCCTGTAGGCCAGACAGCTGA